TGTTGAGACATTATGGAATTAATAGGTATTTAGCTTTCTGTCCCAAATGTCAACAGAATATAATTAACTGTGGTTAACCAAATGTCATTTGTTCAATTCAGGCATGACTTTAGTGGGCATGTTGAGTTATTAAATGTGGAGGAGATATTTTTTATGATAGACTTTGAATTGCTAGTCTTGAGATTAAAGATGTGCTTGCTTTAGCTGCACAGGCTTTCGATTCACTGCTTAGGGACAGCATAGGCAGACCTGTAAGGGAATGACTAGCTGCAAGAAATGCCTATTATTTGGATATAGTCTGATGTATTGAAAGGTCTTTCATCGAAATAGCATGTGCACTAGCTAGTCAAGTATTGTCTCTGTAGACTTCTTTTGCTTAGACAGCAGTTTTTGTGGGGTTTTTTGGCTTCTCTAGTACTTGTAGTATACATTTTTTCCTGTAGCAATCTCATTGCGTTAATTTGCCTGCCTTGACTCTGATGGTGAACTTTTATTTTTTATATTTTTCAACAGTCTACTTTTTCTTCATTGCAGGAGGCATTGCTTATGGTTTGGATAGACTGGTTATGTTATTGGCCGGCGCCAATTCCATTAGGGATGTCATAGCATTCCCAAAGACAACGACGGCTCAGTGTGCCCTCACTAGAGCTCCATCAGAGGTGGATCCTCAGCAGCTTAAAGAACTTTCATTTCAGACCGAATGGTTGCCCGCCCGTAGTTAGTCTTCACATCAATGCATAGAGTCGACTTTGGTTAGCAAGCAACTAATTTCTTGATCACTCGTTCGGATCATTTGAGTTTGTTTTAACCGCCATGTATATTAATGTTGTGTTTTCATGTTCTTTTTTCTCATATGAATTATGTGGAAGAATTTAACTTACTATTTATAAACATGAATAGATGATTTTGTTATAGCTTTCTTTCCATATTCTTGGAAGTTTTACTCCCATGAATAGATGATTTTGATTTATCATTTACCTCTATAATTCACCGAAACAAAATCTATTCTGATGAAATTTAATTTAAACTAAATACAAATTCATAATAATATGTATATACGTATAAATATGAATCTTTTAAAGAATTTATAGGTTGTAAATTATGAAAAACAAGCCAACAATAGTGTATATCTTCTATATATGAATATTAAAATGATTATATGGTAATGTTGCCATTTATGTGAGTCATTATTATATGCCTCTTAAAATTTTATTTTTTATTCATGCATGGAAATTAAGTGCCAAAACCAGAATAATCCAGTGACTCCAGTCTGATTTTTTATTCATGTATGGTAATTAATTGCCAAAACCAGAATAATCCAGTAACTCCAGTCTGTAAGAGGACAACTTTGCTGCCATATACATCTGTAAGGCTTGAAATTAATAATTTTGAAAGAAAAAAAAAAAAAAAAAACATTTTTTGAATTCTTGGCATTGAGCAATTACATTTTTCAAGTATGATTGATAGTAGTTGGACAGAGCCAGTTTTATTTTAGCAAACTTTCATATTTAAATATTTTGTAAATTCTCTAGCATATAATCAGAAAAGCTCAAAAATTTTGCAAAATTTTGTGGGCTGAAAAATAAAAATCTTTAATCTTTATAGGTTTTGATGGTTGGTCAAACTCAAATTAGGCCATAGTTTACCTACTTAATTAGTCTTGAAACCTAGAAACATTCTTATTCATATACTGTATCTCTTGATGAAATTCTAATTCTATATAATTGCATTCAAGTGGGATATTGTAGTTCTTCAACTACAAAATTAATTAATATGAATAAGATGTTATTATTATTTTTATTATTAACAATATTAATTTTTAAAACTAACTTAGAAAATATGATCATCAATTGATCTTATTGAAGTTCATTTTTACCATAGTGAAAGTATTTTTAGCTAGAATAAAATCTAATTTCTCGATTGTTTTAATTTAATTGTGTCAAAAATTTTATAAAGATTATAGTTGGTGATAAAACTTTAGATTGCTCTAATAGCTCAATTTCTTGATCAAGTTACTATTTTTTCTGAGTTCATTCTCCTTCCACTTACCCAAAATTTCCAATGTTGTTCTGTATTTTCTTATCAAATTTAATTTTATTAAAATTCTTTTACTAAGTGAATTGTATTTAGTCAGTTGGGGTTAGGGTTCATCTACATGAATATTTTACTATTTAAAACTTCAATAATTTCAATTTCCCCAAATATAAATCTGTTTAAGATTTTGCAAAGTTGTAACTTACGTTAAAAACAGCCAACAATAACTTTTATTTTATGGAAACTATATATGATTTATGATTATGTGTTATTTTGTCATTTATATGAGTCATTATTATATGCCTCTAAAATTAAATCATTACCAGAGTAATCCAGTCTGTAAGAAGAACAACTCAGAAAAATTATGCTGCATCCATATAAATCAATAAGGCTTAATAAAAATAAAACAAGAATTGGATTTGAGATATCATCCCTATACCTAAATAAACAACATAACAAAATGCTAGATCGACTTCATAAATACCTCCATGACGAAATACTTTTGCAAATTCTAATTTATGTGTAATATTAAGGAGCTTTTGATTTACCATATAATGATGACAAAAATATCCGTAGGAACGGCCTTGCAGCCTCATCCCATTCATTCAGGGATGAGCTGGGGACAAAGCCAAGGATGAGTTTTCATCCTTGAATTATTTTTTGGGCCGCGGTTGGAGATTAATGTCTTGGTCTGGCCGGCTCGAAACCCCCAAAACTTAATAAAAAAAGTCTTCAATAAGTTAAAACCACTAATGTCAAAAGACATCAATAACCACCGAAAATGTAACATATAATGTTGTTTAATAATATAATTCATTCCATTTTATCCTGCCCGAATCACATGCTAGGTTTAGATTACTTTATAATGTTAAAAAAAAAAGAAAAAAAAAATCAATCCATCAAAATTTTTACTTTGTTGATCTAATTATTTCTTCGTTTTCCTATTAAAATCTAATATAAATTTCTTACTCGGTATATTAACTCGATCTTAATAACAATAAGCATTTATAGGTAAAAAGATGTAAACAAAATATTATTATAGTTTATATGAACAAGAAAATTGAGAGATTCAAGACAAAACTAGGATTGACTTTCAATTTTGGGGACTCCCTACCCAATCTCCACTTAAACTAAGCAAGAATTGGGCTGTGGACGTCCCTTCTCGTAGGAAACATATTTAGATATGATATTTAATCATTTCCAACAATTTTTTTTAGGTTAATTCATCACATGTACAAATTACTGGGGTAAAAAGTTATTTCACACTATTTTATGACTCAATTTTTAACGTCATTAGTTTCAAGGATTGGTTTTTACTAATTTTTCCAAAATAGAGATGATATATTTATAGCACACCAGAAGTCGACATCTAGTTGACGCTTTTTGAAACCTTATGAATCGTTGTTCAAATGAACCCTAATTGGTCTTCAAACCAACTAGCAGTGGTCTCCATCTTATGTAGAAATTGCAATTGAATGATTATTTTCACTCACTCAAGTGGGAAAATGCATTACTTTTATACTAGATAATTTATTAATATGAAATTGGATTTGATATTGCATCCCTATACCTAATAATTTTGATTAATATACAAAATAATATAACGGTAAATACACTTCCTATATACTATATATTGATAATTGATTTATGGTTAAAATGTTAAAATAGAATATTAAAGTTCATCAACGAGTTTGAATTAATTAGTTAGTTAATATGTATATGTTACCAATCTTAAAAACATAATCATGGATCGATCTCATTGAAGTTCATTTTAAGTTACTATATAATAAAAATGTTTTTGACAAGGATGAAATCTAATTTCTCCCCCGTTTATCGGATTGCTTTTATTATATCATTCTTGTAGGAAACATATTTAGATATGTATTTAATCATGTAAGACAATCTTTGAAGATTAAACATTTAACTTGGAATTTCAATTGATTAACTCGCGACAAAAATTTAGATTTCCCTACTAATATAGTACAAATTTTGTTTACACCCTATTTTGAAAACATTATATTTAGCATCTAGGGTTTTTTTTTTTTCTTATTTTTTCTTAAATAAAATATAATTATATAAGTGTTTTTAGTTAATTATATAGCTAGTTATTTATCTATATATACTTTTCTGAGTTCATTTACCCTACCACTTGCCTAAAATTTTCCAATGTTGTTCTATATATATAGAAAAAGAAGAAGTAAGAAAGTATAAATTGAAAAAGGATAGATATAAATTCTTTAATTGGAAATTAAAAGATTCCAACCAAGCAATTCAACAGTGCATGTAAGAGGTATTTATCAAATATATTTTATGGATGAAATTAATGCTCAAAAGAGAAATAAAATAATGGATTAAAAAACGGAGAGTTCTACAATACTATCTCATTAGAGAATGGAAAAACCTAATTAATTAGGAATAACAATAAATTACAATGTATGGCATTTCTTTCTGGTATAATCGTCTCCCTAGACAAGACAACATCTCAATAAAAATGTAATTCAAATAGAAACAGTGAGGGGTTTGATTAACAGAATCAAATTCACAAATAATTTTGATTTTTGATGAGTGTGAGTGGAATTATAAAGTTGTAAAACAAATACTCATCCTGTGTGTGTACAGAAATTTCCAGGAAACTTCATGTCTAATCTGTATTGTATCTGGTCATGATGAAACGAAGAGAAGGCTGTAACTGATGAGAAGAGTTGCATTAATCTTTAATTATTCATCAAGTTCATACCATATAAATAAAAGATTTTAAAATCACCAAAACTAGTAAAAAATTGAATTGAAACAAAGCCCTATGAATTTCCACCATGAACTGAGTTATATTGGACAGCTCAAAACTGTTAAATTCTAAACCTACAAACCCCCTATAAAAACCCATTTATTTCTTCTTATTCCGTGCACTTATTCATACCCCAAATCTCTTAATTTTCTCTCCATTTTTTTCCTTCTTATCTTTAACCATGGTAAGAAAGAGCAAGGGCCGCCAAAAGGTGGAGATGGTGAAAATGCCTAATGAAAGCAATCTCCAAGTGACCTTCTCGAAACGCCGGTCTGGCCTCTTCAAAAAGGCCAGTGAACTTTGCACTCTTTGCGGTGCTGAAGTCGCCCTGGTCGTTTTTTCTCCCGGCAAGAAGGTCTTCTCTTTTGGCCACCCCTGTGTTGATTCGGTCATTGATCATTATCTCACCCGAGCCCCCCCTCAAATCTCCGGCACCATGCAACTCATCGAGGCTCACCGCAACGCTAGCGTTCGGGAGCTCAACATGCAACTCACTCAGGTATATATATAATCCAGAAATCTTCGTTCGAAACTAGACTTCTTATTGAACCCTATCATCTTTGGAACATGGTTAAATATGACATATTTGGCCATGAAGGGGCTTAAACCCTGATTATTCCAAAATTTTGCTTGTTTGTATTTGATCATATAATAAAAGTTAAAACATGGTTAATTTTACTTGTTTGGGTAAGATTGAATATATAGCATAAATAATTTTGCTTTGAGAAATAACTTTAATGAAATGATTCCAAAATTTAACTAAACGGTTGATTTCTTTCAGGTGCTTGGTGAATTGGAGGCCGAAAAGAAGCGAGGTGAAGAGCTTATTCAGATGAGGAAGGCTTCTCAGGCTCAGTGCTGGTGGGAGAATCTGATTGAAGAGCTTAGTTTGCCACAGCTTGAGCAGTTAAAAGCGGCGCTAGAGGAGCTGAAGAAGAATGTGGCAAAGCAAGCTGAGAAGATTATGATCCAGAATTCTGGTCCTCCACAGTTTCTTGGAGCGAGTTCATCAAGTGGTGGAGGGATTAATCTTCCATTTGATCTTCAGTCTGCTGGCTTCAATCCGAATATGATGCCTCCTCATGGATATAATAATCCTGGATTTGGACGTGGATTTTACTGAAATCCTTGATGGTTTAGAATGTTGAAAAGGTTGTCTGCCAGAACACAGTTTGTTTAGTTTATTCATGCCTCAGGGTTTGAGTCTTTAATTTTATTTATCATAATGTGTCTGTCAATTGGGTTGAAACATGTTTGGTTTCTTTTAATATTTTATTTATTTGCAGCATTGTATGCCATGAGGTTAGTCTCATGGTTATGTTTAAGTATGGTATGAATAAAAGGCATCTTATCTATCTTATATTTGCTTCATATATATACAGGTAAAAAATTTAACAGCTCACTTACCAATTAAATCAGTGAACAAAAACGAATGGCTTTGGCCCGCTGCTATGGCAATTGCTAGTCCATATCACAAAAATATTAACAAAGAGACTAGAATTGACACAGAATGACTTTCCATGCAGATATGTCTTGGTGGTACAGTAATAAATAAATATATAGAAGGTTGCAGGCCTCAAACAGTGAAGGTCAAAAAGAATTTTCAGTTTTTGAAGCAAAAAGTTATCCATTGCCGTTATTGTGAAGAAACTGAGAAAGAGCGAGCTTCAACTACTACAAAAATAATATTCCATGTATATCCAAGAAGGTAAGAACATCGTGGCGTCACTGTCGACTGAGTTCTTAAGACAACATGCTCAAGCCTCTTATCTGCATGAAAACGTTAATAAATGTAGAAAAATTAGATTAAATTAAACCACCAATTATAACGTAAATAATCATGACAGGAAGTCTCCCCGCAAGAAAAATAAATTTATCTGTAAATGGGTTTTGATTTGATCTATTAATTATTTTTATGTATTGAGTATTAAAATTAAGTAACTGGCTAGATTTCATGTATACGCACATTCTTCTTCATGGAGACGGTATATATTACGATATGTAAAAGGGACAGAAATTAATGATTGATTTAACTGGTCCTGATTAGAAAAACATAATTAATTAGCAACATTCATAGTTTAATATTCTTAAGTAATTTGAAGTGAATTGATCATCAAATGTCTATACTATTATTTAGAGACCTGAAACTGAATGTTTGATGATTATATCTTTATAATTACAATAACTGATATAGATAATTAGTTCCATATAATAACATTCATTCATACATGAAAAGACTGAGATTTGGTAACTTCCAAATCTTTGCATTAATCAAATATAATTATGTAATTGGGAGTTAAAAAGAAACCAGTGGCCAATAATTTTGTCCACCTTAATTTCAAGAGATTGACCACCCTATAAATACTCTCATATGTTTCCCTAGCAGACCACAATACTCGTCTCAAAAAAGAAAATATTACAAGCATTTCATAAATTTTTCTTCTCCGATCTTCTTTAGTATCTTCAGCAATGGCGAAGAAACCTTGTATGGGTCGCCAAAAGATTGCAATCTCAAAAATACCGAAGAAAAATAATCTGCAGGTCACCTTCTCTAAACGTCGCGCTGGGGTCTTCAAAAAGGCTAGTGAGCTCAGCACACTTTGCGGCGTTGAGATTGCTATAATAGTCTTCTCCCCAGCCAACAAAGTCTTCTCTTTCGGCCACCCTAATGTTGATTCCATTGTTGATCGCTTTCTTGCTCGAAATCCACCGTCCAATTCAGGCGTTCAGTACCAACTCATCGAAGCTCATCGAAACGCTAATATCCGTGAGCTCAACGTGCAACTGACACAAGTTCTTAATCAACAAGAAGTTGAGAAGAAGAGGGGAGAATTTCTTAATGACATTAGGAAAGCAAGCCGGAAATTTTGTTGGTGGGAAGCTCCTATCGATGAACTCGAGTTGCATCAGCTCGAACAATTGAGAACAGCGATGGAAGAGCTGAAGAAGAATGTTGCAAATGAAGCTAAGAGGATTTTGGTTGAGTCCAACAATCCTTCTCCGTTTGATGCAGTTAATAATTATAATATCGAACACGATTGCAAGCCTAAAGATATTAGTGTTGCTTCAAGTAGTCTTCCTGCCTGGAAATGGCCATAAGCTTCTATGAGTTTAATTGGCAGTTACAACTAGTAGCTTGCTAGTCATTGCTGTCGACTATATACTATTTTTTTTTCTTATTATTTCGGTTATAGTTGAAATATTGAAGTGTTATGAATTTGCAAATAAAGTTTGCAACAGTCGATTTAATTTTTGGTGCATTGTTTAGAGGATGAGATAATGAAGTTAATTAATTAAGAGGTTTAACATTTAGATAATGAAAATGGAAAAAAATAATAATCTAGAATATCATCTGTGTGTATAGCAAATCATTGGCACTCACACCATGAAAATAAGCATGGAAATTTGTGTTTAATTACCGACAGTCACTTGCTTTTATTTCATCAGTTTCAGATTTAGACACAACTCGGAAATGATGATAATTAATTGCAAACCATGCAAGAAATATAAATTAATTGATTAATGAACTCCCTTTGTCGTCAATTTATCATCACCAAATGACAAGTAAATAATGTAAAGTAATTGAGTTCGAATTTCCTAGGTGTCTGGGAGTTTCAATGCTCCGAAAGATTAGTTGAGATACGTACAATCTGGTATAGATAGTCCGTTGATGAAAAAAAAATTCCAAATTAATCTGAGATATGATGGAAAAAAAAAAAAATATGCTTTACTTTTATAAACTTATTCTTGGAAACGAAACTCCAAATTCCAGCTTATATGTATCATGATAATTGCCAGTGGGAGGTTCTAGACGAGATTTATTCAAGTAAATATAATCACACACAAATGATATGTTTTAAGGAAATTTAATACATATTTTTTTTTTTTTTTTTTTGGTAACTGCCTATAATTGAAACTACAAACCCATTAATGGATTCTCTAGGTCAGACCGATGGTTTCCCCATTACGTGCTTAATGACGTTTGAAGTAGATTTTGATAGAATTAATTTCCAAATCTTGAATGTATATATATCATTCAAGTGATTAAAAATTAAGATAGAAAATGACAATAATTAAAGTTAATAGAACAAACAACGAAGGGATCGACTAATATAACCCAATAAATACTACATGCTTCCCCTTAAAACCTTCACAACTTCTCAATAAATTGAATTTACTTTTATCAAATCTTTGATCAACGTAATCAAGCCATTGTAAAGGACCGTTGAGGTTTGAAATTAATATGTAGAGGAGTTGAAGAATATATAATGTGGGAATATATCATTTTTGCGTGCAAATCTGTAAATTGTATGAAAATTCTTAATTAGCCCTCATGGTTAATGAACAGGAATGAGCTAGGTTAATTTTGATCATAGACATGGAATTTTTATTCAGTTTCCCCTGTCCATTAATTCAATGTGGTTCCAATCTAGCTAATATTATTACTATCAATATAAATATCTCACCAGCTAGATTATTATTGTCTAATAAATAATTTTTTAATTTCAGTTATGGTTGAATGTGAATAAATATAAATAGTGTTGTGCGGTCAATCACCAGAGCACGGATTCACATCTCATGCCATTCCATTTAGGTTACCTTTATATATTTATAAATTTGTCATTGTAACCGTATATAACCGTGTCATTCCATTAGGGTTACATTTATATATTTATAAGTTTGTTATTGTAATCGTACATAAGTTTATTTTTTACCTAAATGAGGGACCTCTTTCTGACAAGCCACACTTGTGCGTGAAAAAAGAAAAAGACAAACACAGAAAGCAATATAAAAACAATAGATGTAGGGTTTGCATTAAATATCCAAATCATTTTAAAAATCTCTTGTTATTTGCGTTTCCAATTAATTTATTGATTCTTGCATTGTGGATTTCATACAAATTTCTTATGTAGATTTTATCACGAAATTTACATACCTTTTGTTGGTGTAAATCGCTGTATCAAACTTTCAGTTTGCCTGCAATAACCATCATTGGGAAAGCTTTTTCAATTAACGGTGTTCAATTTTGGCATATCGTGTCTTTTTTTTTTTCGGCCCATCGTGTCTTTCATTCCTTGTAAAACTTTTTTATTAGAAGGATTGGAATTCGATTGCTAAGTAGATGTGAATCAAATGTGATCTCTTTAAACCTTTTATTATATTCAAGAGCAAAGGTGAGATTGAGAAGCTTTTACCGGATGCAAAGGTGACTCCATCAAAGATATGTGAGCTGCTCATGAAGGATGGGGCCGTGAAAGACACACACGGAGGCTTAATTGAGTTCTTGAAAATAGGTAGAGAGAAGATGATGAATTATAGCCAGTGAAAGCTGAAAAATCATAACAGTGGAAGGAGGTATGGAACAAGTTGACGGCACGTTTCAAACTTTAAAAAGAAAAAAAATAACTCCTTTGAAATATAAGATGAATGCCTTAGCAAGGGCAGAATATTCATTTACTGAAAAGCATGTACCTCTCTATGAAATAATCTAAATTGCGCTATATCTCATATAAATAAAATAATAGGATGGCCAGTTCCTGAAGGTTCGATCAGGACACATAATCTTAGGACGATAATAATAAATAAACCCTACACAAACCTGAATCATAAATTTGCAATGCCAAAGGATTTCATAGCCCCAAGCACACAGCCCTTATGCACATGCTTTGAAACCAATTAACCAGTGGAAATGGAGGCTAGAAGAATTAAAAGAGATCAAATAATTTTCTATGAAGAAGGAAAAATCCTTCATCAACGGATAAGAACCATTCTATTAAACTATGGAAGGTTAATTCTAATAACCCAAAAAAAAAAAAATTGCAAGCTTCCTTGCGAGACATGTGGTAGTATTTCAAATTCAAGGAGGAAAATAAAATAAATAAATACTTGACCTTATTAAAATTTTTAATTATATCTGAATTTCTAAGTAAACCCCATCCATTTACAATATAATCCTTATATTTATTTATATTTTCACTACTCATTTTATACTTTCTCACTTTGTTTTGTACATACTCTTCATCTTTTATCTTCATTTACTCTATCAATCAAGCATATAATCGTTACTTTTGTTAAGCCACACTCAGGGATTCATTGGACACGAATTTTTTTTTCATAATAATAATAATAATTATTACAAACTTATAAATTATGGAAAACTGCAAATCAATTGAAGGTAAGAAACAACCAAAAAGAATAAAATGAAGCCAACGAATTTAACACATATATGTTGTTGCCCAAATCTTTCAATTGTAGATATTTGATCTCTATTATTTTAAAATTAGTGTTTAATCAGTAGAAAAGAAATTTACAGCAAACGATTAATTCTAGATCTAGATGGGTTGTGCATAAAATATTTTACGTTATGTCTAATTTAGTAATTTTTGAAGAGTAGACTTTTTCCCACCTAAATAATAGTTTAATTACACTTTTCCACTTACAGACTTTTAAAATACCACTTTAATATCTAAATTTATATTGCATTTCTGATTTCGACACTGTTGCTATTTTACACCACCACCATTCTCTTTCCTGATCACTTATCAAAATCTCTCAAACTCTACTCCTGCCAATCCCTTAAATCATCAACAATTGAGTGATTAGGATTTGCGCAGTTGCCCCTTCAAGTCAAATTTCATTAATCCTAACCACCAAAATCCAAACTTCCACCATTAAAAGACTCATCGGCCTCTCCTCTTCAAAAGTCACAATAGCTTGGACCAAGTTTGCTCTCTGTTTGCCACACGAATATAAATTTAGATAATAAAGTGGTATTCTAAAAGTCTATGAACGAGAAAGTATATTGTAGATGCAAAAAATCTACCGTCATGAAAATAGGGTATGATTCTGTGAGGTTGAGGCCACTGACAATCCGTTAGACCTGCACACATGAAAGGGCAAGCGTGAAGCTTCCGGAAAACACCGGGGTGGTGTTTGCCGTAGGCACTCCGACGCTCAAGCCAGCAAGCCTGAAAGAGATTATTTGATAAGATTAAGGAGATGAAGAATTACCAGGAGTCTTGTCGGAAGCTAGGACTACGACGGAGGCGTCGGGTTCTTGGGAGCAAGAACTTAGGAGCAAATAAATGGTTTTGAGTAATATAGATTGATTGTGGGAGATTGCATGCATAATGAGAGGGCAAGCCTCTGTTTTTATAGGAACACAGGGGTTGGAATCTTAGTAGAACACTAAGTCCTATTTTGGGAGATAATCTCTATCCTAAAGAGATATGATTATTAACCTTATCAGATTAAGTTTAATAGTTTAATAAAGTTTGAAATCTTAGAGGACACTAAGTCCTATTTTAGGAGATAATCCCTATCATGAAAAAGATATGATTTATTGATTTAACAGATCAAGTTAATAGTTTGATAAGATTTGGAATCTTAGTAAAAGAGGAAATATATGAGATTCTGATTTCCTATTTTTAGATTGTTGTAGGCTAATGGGTTGAAACCCAGTTTAGCTTAACTTATAAGAACCAACTCATGAGTGAGTAGTTCACAAGGTGATTTTAAGCATAGGCCCAATCGGGATTAGGTTGGGCCTGGGTCATGACATGTTTATTTCGTTATTGGGCCGTCAAGCCCAAGATGATTTTTGGCCCTAACAGTTAGCCCCCCACTTTAAGATAAAGATATTTAGCTTAGACAGTAGATTTAATCGAATGAGGTGTAGACTGAGCGGATTAGTGATGGCAGCTCGTTAGGTCGATGGATCATTATGTGGATTGGGTCGATGACTTGTCAATTTGAGGTGCAAGTCCTTCAATCAGTTTGGGCCGATTGAATGTGTAAATTCATGAATCGGGCAGGGCCATCAAAGGTGTAAACTATGAATAGGACAGAGCCGATCGAAGCTATAAACTTGTGAATCGGGCAGGGCTAATCGAAGGTGTAAACTCATGAATCAGGCTAGGCCGATGGAAGGTGTAAACCATGAATCGGGCAGGGCCGATCGAAGGGTGTAAATTCTTGAATCAGGCAAGGCCGATTCGAGGTGTAAACTCGTGAATTGGGTAGGGCCGATTTAAAGGTCGTGAATCGGGCAAAGCCGATTCGAATGTGTAAGTCTATGAATCAGGCAGGGCCGATTCGAAGGTGTAAGTCCGTGAATCAGGCAGAGGCCGATCCGAAGTGTAAATCCGTGAATCGGGCAGGGCCCTTTCGATGGTGTAAATCCATGAATCGAGCAAGGTCGATCCGAAGTGTAAATCCGTAGAGCGGCAAGGCCGATCGAGTGTAAATCCGTGAATCAAGCAGGGTCAATCCGAAGTGTAAATCCGTGGATTGAGCAGGGTTGATCGAAGGTGTAAATCCGTGGATCGGGCAAGGCCGATCCGAAGGTGTAAATCTGTGAATCGAGCAGGGTCGATCGAAGTGTAAATTGTTAATCGAGCAGGGTCGATCGAATGTGTAAATCCGTGAATCGATCAAGGTCGATTCGAAGGTGTAAATCCGTGGATCGGGCAAGGTCGTCCGAGAAGGTGTAAATTTGTGAATCGAGCAGGGTCGATCCGAATGTGTAAATCTGTGAATCGAGCAGGGTCGATCCGAAGGTGTAAATCCGTGGATGGGCAGGGCCAATCGAAGGTGTAAATCTGTGAATCGAGCAGGGTCGATCCGAAGGTGTAAATCCGTGGATCGGGCAAGGCCGATCCGAAGGTGTAAATCTGTGAATCGAGCAGGGTCGATTCGAATGCGTAAATCTGTGAATCGAGCATGGTCAATCCGAAGGTGTAAATCCGTGGATCGGGCAAGGCCGATCTGAAGGTGTAATCCGTGAATCGAGCAGGGTCGATCCGAAGGTGTTAAATCATTGATCGGGCAGGGCGATCCGAAGGTGTAAATCTGTGAATCGAGCAGGGTCGATCCGAAGGTGTAAATCTGTGAATCGAGCAGGGTTGATCCGAAGGTGTAAATCTGTGGATAAGCAGGCCGATCCGAAGGTGTAAATCCGTGAATCGAGCGGGGTCGATCCGAAGGTGTAAATCCGTGAATCGAGCAGGTCGATCCGAAGGTGCAAATCCGTGAATCGAGCAGGGTCGATCCAAAGGTGTAAATCCATGGATCGGGCAGGGTCGATCCGAAGGTGTAAATCTGTGGATCGGGCAGGGCCATCCGAGGCTGTAATCTGGGATCGGGCAGGCCAATCCGAAGCTGTAAATCTGTGGCCGGGCAGGGCTGACCGAAGGTGTATGCCAAGTGGAGCTTGTATAGAGCTTGCAGTCGTCGAAGTGATCGACTTGTAGTTGAAACCTTTGAGGGCTATGTGGCCCAGTCGGCGTGACCGATTTGTAGTTGAAAACATTTGATTGAAGCTGGAGCAGTGACATGCATGACAGCATTTTTCAGCAAAGAGCCGAATGGAGAGTCAATTGCATGATGTGCATGTGTTATGGATTGAATGAATAGTGAGCTAAATGGAAAAAATGGGTTGCATGTATTTAAGTAATGGGCCTAATAGAGAAAGATTTAACCAATAAAGTGGTAGTTAAAAGGAGACAATGACACATACCTTTCCCCTTCAAATGCTGCCACCCATGTTGTTGGACCGAGTGGAGAGAGGGGTGTTACTTTCTATGTTGAAGCTGAACAATTGAAGTTGAGTGGGCACGTGTTCACTTTTGGGTTGATCCGAATGGGCACGTTGATATTGTATGTGCAAACCCAAATATCATTGAGTGGACTACTCGTGTTGTTTAGTGGTGCTGAGTTGTAGTGGGAGTAGAAAGTTTGCAAATAGCGGGGAGCGTGAGGGCTTTTGTGACAGGTGTGCTGGAGATTGTGATGTGAAGGTGGTTTGAGTGATTTGTATTGGTTGGGAAGGGGCGATGGTTCGAGTTTGGAGTTTTGGAATACGGTGGGGTAAGGAGATTAGGCGAGAGTGGGGTGGCGTCACTAATAGGTTTTGTTGGGGAGTTTCTCTTCGTGTTTAGTAGATGACTTTAGGTGTTTTGAGAGGATTACTGCTATGTTTTTAGGATTTTACTGTGTGATTGGAGAAGCTGTTAGGGCGATTTTAGGAGACAGATGGAGGGTTTTGGGTTTCAAGTGGTGGCAAATCTCCGTGAAGTTGAATTGGGATTGGATCAAGGCTGGTCAAGTTTGAGTTACCTTCTAATGGAGCGGAGGTCCTGGAGATGATGGCGTATTGTGGCATCTCTTGAACGAACAAATTGACGTTTTTTTGGCAGGTAATGCATTGCAAAGCTCTGATGACGCTGGCGGACCACTGGTGGTTTGATGATTGAAGTGAAAAGGCGCGTGGCAAAGAGGTTCGAGACAGAAGCTATTGCCTATCTGAACAAAGGATTAGAGAAGAGAGATGTTGAAGCAAAGTCAATGAATCAAGTGGTTTAGGAACACCACTTTAAACTCTGACACATTATTATTCTATTATAATTTAGAACAATATATGAAGCTATTATTAATTTAGAATAATAATATGAGCTTCAAGGTCTTATACTACCCGCTGAATGGATATAATATAGAATAAATTACGATAGCCGAATAGATATAATATGGCATGGATAGATAAAACAAACGAAGAAAAATAAAGAAAAAAATTCTTATTGTGATGAGATTTTCTGATTAACATTGTCAGTCAAAGGAGTTTCGTGTCGCCTCCCATGTTGTAAGTCATCGTTGGCAGATGATTGTTAGGGCCCCACGGTGGGCACCAAATTGTAGATGCAAAAAATCTACCGTCATGAAAATAAGGTATGATCCCGTGAGGTTGAGGCCACAACAATCCGCTAGACCTGACACACATGAAAGGGCAAGCGTGAAGCTTTCGGAAAACACCGGGGTGGTGTTTGCCGTAGGCACTTCGATGCTCAAGTCAGCAAGGTGAAAGAGATATTTTATAAGAATTAAGGAGATGAAGAATTACCAAGAGTTTTGTCGGAAGCTAGGACTACGGTGGAGGCGTCGGGTTCTTGGGAGCAAGAACTTAGGAGCAATAAATGGTTTTGAGTAGTGTAGATTGATTGTGGGAGATTGCATGCATAATAAGAGGGCAAGCCTCTGTTTTTATAGTGACCCAAGGGGTTAGATCTTAGTAGAACACTAAGTCCTATTTTGGAGTAATCCCTATCCTAAAGAGATATAATTTATTGACCTTATCAGATTAAGTTTAATGTTTAAATAAGGTTTGGAATCTTAGTAGGACACTAAGTCCTATTTTAGGAGATAATCTCTATCAGAAAGAGATATGATTTATTGACTTTATCAGATCAAGTTTAATAGTTTGAGTAAGATTTGGAATCTTATAAAAGAGGAAATATTATGAGATTCTGATTTCCTATTTTAGATTGTTGTAGGCTAATGGGCTGAAACCCAGTTTAGCTAACTTATAAGATAACCCAACTCATAGAGTGAGTAGTTCACAAGGTGATTTTTAGCATAGGCCCAATCGGGATTGGATTGAGGCCTTGGGTCATGACATGTTTATTTCGTTATTGGGCCTCGTCAAGCCCAAGACGATTTTTGGCCCTAACAATTATTAAGCTATTATTTGGGTGGAAAAAAAGTCTTTAACTCTTTTATAAAGGTTAAGTTTGTAACAAAGAAGAAAATAAATGGGTTAGTAAGATTATATGGGTGTTACTAGCATCACTCTAAATAAATAAACACATTTCCCGATTTGAATGAGTTTCTTTCTGATATTTATCTTAATATTCCTCCCCTTTTATTTTTTACCATGTTGAATAATAGAATACTATGGAGTACTTTAAGCCTCCAATTCCATATTTAAAAAATAAAAAAAAAAAAATTATGATAAATATGAGTATTACTCATAATAATTTCGTGTTAAGTGGCACATATGATATTACGATTGAATAGTGATAAGGAGAGTTTTAAATTTTATTCAAAAATAAAGAAAAAAAATTGATGTCACAAACAAAATTATTTTGTACCTCATTAAATTTTAAAGAATAATTTTTACCATATCTAGTATCATGTTAATATATTTACGATTTTCAAAGACTTACAATGAATGATAATGGCAATAAATCAATATGGTAATTACCTTTTTCCTGGTGCTAAATTTTAGAAATGGACACCAAAAGGAAAAAAAAAAAAAAAAAAAAAAAAAAACCTTCGAAACGTAGTGACCATTCACTTATAAACACTCAAAACAAAAACAAAAGTCTTCTCACATTACAAAAATCAAAACCATATCAATCACCATGAACAACAACAACAATGGAGTCAATCACAGTAAAACTAAAACAACAAAAGGTCGGCAGAAGATTGAAATAAAGAAATTAGAAAACAAAAACAGCCTGCAAGTGACATTCTCCAAGCGCCGGTCAGGCCTCTTCAGTAAAGCCATGGAGCTCAGCGTTCTATGCGGTGCAGAAGTGGGCATGGTGGTGTTTTCTCCCAACGGAAAAATCTATCTCCTCGGCCACCCAAACTTTGAGACCGTCTTGAACCGCTTTCTCAACGAAGACGAGTCTTCGTCTTTCGATTATCATCATCAAGAGGTTAATTCTGAAGGTTTCATCGCGTTTGTGCAAGAGCACAACAGGCAATACGAGCAGGCGTTGAAGGAGTTGGAGAGGGAAAAGGTTCGGTCCAAGAAGATCGAACAGGAGAATAATATGAATGAAATAATGGGGAGGAATTGGTGGGAACATTCGGTGGAAGAAATGAGTCTTGAAGAGGTTGAAGAGTTTGAAAAGGCTCTGCAGAATTTGAGGACGACTGCAGCCATGAAGCTTAACGACAGAATGATGAATGAATATTTGGTGCCTCACGTTGAAGCTAATCAAGATCATCATCAGCATCATCAACATGATGGTTTGTAAGAGATTAATTAATGCTTCTGTTAATGGTACTTTAGAAGAATAATAATTGTTCTTCTTGTTTCAAATTATGCTTCTTTTTCTTTGATGTTATGAATAATAAGTTACTGTATAATGTAGTGTTATATATTTTTTTTTTTTCTTTTTCACAAATAATTTTTGCAAGTTTTATTGGGTAGATATATGGTAGAATTTGATTAAAAGCCAAGGACACACACACACAAAAAAAAATAATATATATATAATAAATCTCAAGATCCTTTTCATGATTTTAGTGATTTTTCTTTGATTTTCCTTACTGCTTTTTTCACTATGTTGAAGAAATTCTGATAAAAAAAAAAACCTTTAATTTTATGTTTATTAAATTTGTGTTAAAGGCTACACATATGATATGAATATATTTGTAGTTCTATCGGTGGTCTTTTTGTGTTCTATTCGACTAAAAAAAGTGATGTCAATATGTGAAACTATTTTTGTACTTCTTAGTAGTCTTAAATAATATTGTTTTTAATATGTATATATGATTCATAATTATAGTATGATGTTTTTTTATTTTTTCCATAGAATAAAGTAAAACTTTTCTATAATGATACTGCATACATCATGTAATTATAACAAATTTTAATCTCAACTTGGGCCAGTTATAAATAAAAATAAATTTAATATCATAAGAGATTATAATTTTTCTAGGCCTCGTCATAAGAAACTCGCCTCTACATAATAATAATTATATGTATATTTCAAAAAAAAAAAAATATGTTATGTTATATTAAATGTTTAAAATGAAATAAATTATTTATCTAAAGTTGTTTGAGACAATGATTTATGATTTGAAGTTATAACCACATCTTTTATCTTATAGATAGGTAATAAGTCACTAGCATGAACACCTTCTTATTAAAGCCAAAATATTTCTAACTCTCGAGCATGTTTAGAGCTTTTTAGCACGAAATTTTCGGTATTTCCGTACTATCATCCTCAAGATTATTTTCTTCCCCTTTTTTACTAATTCCAGTAATGATTTTTCTTAAGTAATTAAAACATACATGACTTGTTGCTGATTTGGATAATTGAAAAAGACATTGATATCCATTTGATTAGTATAGTAAAGTTGTCGAATTTGATCACACAATTTTGCAATGACTCTTTGATATCTATTTTCGTACTATCCTAATGTTACTAAAACAATGAATTGAAATCATAATACTAATAAAATATAGAGTATAAAATAATAAATCAAAACAATAATTTTTGTAGTTAAACTTCTATTAAACTAGAACCTCCTCATAGTAATAAATTTAATTGGTCCCAATATTATGATTATAGAGAGGTTCTACTGTAATATGATTTCTTTGTTTAATTTGAGTCTGATATATTTACATTTCTTATGAAATTGTTTGCTAATAGGAAAATAATTAAATTAAAAATAGTCATTATCATAAAACTCTGACTTTCATCCAAGAAATTTCACTCTGTTAAGCCCAGTCCAAACTTTGGGCTTCTTTGATGTGCTACTCACCCAGGCCTACTCAATTTCTTCCGTAAAATTTCACTCTGTTCAACTCTACTAAATTCCATCCATAAAAGTTCACTCTGTTAAGCCCAGCCCAAACTTTAGGCTTCACCAAAAAGCTAGTTTAAAATTGATATATTTTTTTTAACGGCGGTATTTAAGATTTCTTTCTAAACCTCAATAAATAATTAAAATCATTTTAAAAATTTAATTTATAAATATCTTATATTTCATTCAATAATTGTCCTTCCCTAATATTTTTTATTTCAAATTTCTTTGTTCACCCATCAGCCGTATCCGTATTTTTTCTCCTGAGTTAAATTTTTAATGGCCATCCCAGATTCTTATTAGACAATATTTTTATTCAAGTCAATTTCAACTTCCAAGAGAATTAAGAAAATAAAAAGACTTTTTACCTACACCATGGATGAATGTTAAAGTAATTTTTTTTTTTTTTTTTTTTTGATATCTAAAAATTACACAGTTGTTTAAATATGTTAAACTAAAATTGCTAAATCAACAGTAAGCAAGGACAATTACTGGGAATATTTCCATTGTTTGAATCCATCTTCCATCTCTTCAAAAAGATTTTAATCATATTACATATTTCCGAACGAAGAACTTAATTTACAAATATTAAAGGGTTTAGGAATTTAGAAAAAGGTTCTTTAATACATGGGTGTACTAAAAATAAATGCCCTTTTTGGTAATACTAGTTTATAAAAATTTAAAAAAATTATTATTGGGGCTTAGAAAGAATATATATTGTTTTTAAGCTCCGCTAAATACTTTTCTAACTCCAAACCAATTAAAAATTTAATTTATATTATTATATCTATTTCCAAAATTACTTCAAACTAATATTTCTCATTCTAATGTAAACTTACGTTTCATTACGTTCACTGAGTAACGTAAATAATCTTTGATTTTCATTAGTTTTAAACTTGATGGTCCACATTGGTTGTTCAGTTTTCAAACGCTTCAGTTTTCAACGTTTGGGATTTATGGCAGCCATTAAGCATGCCTTAAGCTTGATGGAAGTTTGGTTATGAATATATTATTTTGGTCCCTAAGCTCAAACACGAATATACAAAAAATACACCATCAATAGAGTGTCTGAGGAGCTTAGAAGATCCAAAATACTGCTCGTGAGTTTGTTTCAATGGCTGGAGGTAATTCTTGATCCTCTGGTTTATAGTTGAAGAATATTATATCTTTTGTATTTCCGTCTAGATTACAGATAAAATATCTTACAGTTGGTATCAGAGCCATATAATACCTCTGTCTTGATGTTTTGCAAAAGTTATTTTTTAAGCTCTCTGTTCATGGCCGTTTGAAATTTTTTTAAAAAATCAAAGTTGCCTTTTAGTTGTTTTCTAACAAAATAAATGATATAATCATTAGGAAATTGTTTCTATCATTTCTGGGTTTTGAAACAATTATTGTGAGTTTAAATAGTGGATTTCCACCTGTGTTGCTATTGTTCGTTTTCGGGTCGGGTATCCAGTTTAGATCCGATCAAGGTTGAAGACGACTATAGATGATATGTCGTTTTTCCTTCAGTTTTGAAAACGACATGTCGTTTTCTTGTCAATTAAAAAAAAAAATTTAAGATCTGGCGTGATTGAACCCGTGATCTGATGGAAAGAGATCTGCTACTGGCCAAACAGGCCACTTTACGTTTCTGTCATGTGATTAGTAAAATAATATTAATATTGTTTCTATTCTGCTCTTTTTAATTATGCCTATTATATTATTTGGTTTAATTATATGCATTTTTGGATAAGTTAAATTGTGCAGAATCCTAAATTAATTATGCTCATATTTATCTTTCATGATTGATTATATCTTTCTATTTGCAATTTTTGAATGGGTATATATGGATAAAGGCATAATATTAAATGTTAGCATAATATTATAGTTTTCATTATGCAATATTTTTTATGCTATTGAGAATTTTTTGTGCATAATATAACATATTAGTATTTGATTTGTAATTCGTAATATTAAGCTAGTCTTTATGAGATTTAATGTCTAGTGATCCATATAATTTTAATTAATTAGAGAATAGCCACAACATCTTTAATTAATAAATTATATATATGATTAATTAGGATCACATAAAATATTAGACATTAATTGTAATTAATTATACTTATAATAATAAATTTTTTCCCACAGAATTTTTATTATTTTATATTTTAATTGGATAAAATATCAAGTTATTCATTTTACCCACAGGAATTATGAATTTAGTAAATAATTTGTATTTTTATCATAAAGTTTAATCATAAGGAATAAATGAATCTGCTTGAATATAAATTTAGCCACAGGTATTTTTATGTCATTAGATTCAATTTTTTTAACATAATTACATTGGTAAAGTATGTATTTTGTTTAGGCCTCGTTTTTAACATAGCATGTAATCTATAATTTTATGCAGTCGTACAACCTACAATTTTCTCTGATATCGTTTTGATATCCCTGCCTTAGGGAGATAACTATAAGGTTTGGAAGGAGAGAGTTCTTCTTTAATTTGGGGTGGATGGACATAGACATGCTATTAGGAAAGACGACCACCAGCACTCACTGATACTAGTACTGCAGCAGACATCACGCTTTATGAATGATGGGAGCGATCTAACGTCTCAACGTGATGTTCATTAAGACTAGAATCTCTGCTATTCCGTGGTTCTTGTGATCAGCATGAAAAGGTCAAAGACTTGCTAAAAGCCATTGTGATCAATTTGTCACTTCGGATAAGGCACTAGCAAGCACCCTGATCATGAAGCTCTCATCCCAAGCTCACCGGTGTGAGAGGTGTGCGCGAGCACATCATGCAAATGAGGGATATTGTGGCTCAATTGAAGAATCTCGAGGTTGAAATGTCGGATTCCTTCTTGGTGCACTACTCTTAACACCCTTCCGCATCAATATGGACCCTTCAAAATCTCATAAAACACACATAAAGATAAATGGTCATTAATGAACTATTGACCTGTTGTTCAAGAGGAAGGGATTGGTGATGGAAAATGGAGAAGTGCAATGCTTGCATGCATGAAAGGGAAAATCAAGCCAATAAGAAAGGGAAAGGTAAAATGCCTCCTCCCCAAGTGGTATCAAGAAAGATTCCAAGTGTTTCTTCTGTAAAACAAGGGACACATGAAGAAGGAATGCGCCAAATTTCAAAATGGCTTGCGACAAGGTAATCCAACCTCATTTGTTTGTATGAATCTAATATGGTTAATGTCATATTACACATGGTGGATTTATTCTGGATCAACAACCACATTTCAAATTCCTTGCAGGGTTTGCAAAACCTAAGGAAGCCAGTGGGAAGTGAGCAAAGCATCTTATCAGGAAACAAGATGGGCTCGCATGTGGAAGCTATAGGAACTTGCTATTTAATTTTAAGTAGTGGCTTTGTTTTAATGTTAGAAAAGACCTTTTATGTTCCAAGTTTTTCTAGAAACTTGATTTCAGTTTCAAG